AAAGTTATGTATATAGAGAAATTTATTCTTATAAAAAACCAAAATTTATAAAATAGGTAGTAGTTTGACTTTTAAAATGAAATATTTAGAAGTTAAGAGATCTACAGAGTTTAGTTAATAGTAGTAATAAATACTGTTCAAGTTAGACTTCAAAATATACTAGGTAATCAGGGACAAATTTAATAAGGAAAGACCTGAGGGGTTTGAATTATCATTTCCACCTAACTTTTTATTTTAAATTACAGGTAAATTCCCTTAACTAATTTGTTACTAGGCTTTATCATTTATGAAATGGGCAACTGATGGTTGGAGTGCCTATTGAAAAACTGTAAGAATTAATCTACATTTATAAAGATCAAAGGATTATTCATTTAAAGCAATAAATTTTCCTAAGGATCAGCCATCACTCAGTCAATGAGTATTTATTAAATGCCTACTATGGGCTAGGTGCTGGAGATAAAGACAAAGAATGAGATAATTTCCACTTTCAAGGAGGTTACATTCCATCAGAAAAGCCAATATGTTCATTTGTAAGTTTATACAGAATAAATACGAGGTAAGTTACATACAAGACAGTTTGGGAATGAGGACACTAGCAGTAAAAGGATCCAAAAAGCATCATGTGGAAAGGTGGTATGTGAGCATGATCCACTTAATGAATTCCCTTCATTTAACAGATAAGGAAATGGATCTCACACACATTTTTAAGTTTATAATTTTAGTATTTTCAAAACAGACTTAACTGTGTCCTTACATTGATTGAAAGACTGAAAGAACCCAAATGGCAGATAAAAACTAGAGACTTGCAATGCTGGAAGGAACAACCACTGCTGTTTAGTATGAATAATGAATGAATATAATGAATGAATGAAAAAAGTATTTATTAAGTGCTTTCTATGTGCCTGGGACTGTACTAAATGCTAAGGATACAAATGAAAAAAAGTGACACACACTCAGCCCTCAAAAAGCTTAGGTTCAGATAGGGAGAGATAACACCTAGAGGGGAGTGGTGACCAGGGTTCTAGTAGTTGGGTGTAGAACAGGGATGGTAAGGTGATCCACAGGGCATTCTAACTGACAAAACCCTTTCTAGAAGCAATAATACTATTTATTAGTTGCTGTCTCCAGAGCCAGAGATAGAAGGGGATAGGAGGAAGTGTAAAGGGATATATGCATGTAGAGGTATGACAGATGGCTAGATGGCAGATTGAGATGTAATTAAGGGCTAAGTAAGTTTGCACAAAGTCCCCAATCAAGACAGTGAGTTCCAAGGTTGAGTAGATTAAAAGTGAGGTAGTGCAAAAACTGGATTTGATAAACATATGGAATGAACTGGACAGATGCTTCTGGGGGCTTTTTCCTCTGCTACCCAAGGTGCTCCTCCTTCTTCCAGCTGGTAGAACACATCTGGCTTGAAAGTTGCAAGTCTGAGACAGATCAGGCTGCTTATTTCTCCATCATTACGTCCTCTGAGTTTCCATGAGATCCATGGCAACATCAGTGACATCTTCTATTCCAGAATTAGTACAGGACTGACGGTTTTCCATAGGGAGAAAGTTAAATCCACAAAGCTGAAGAAAATCAAAGGAACTAACGGGTACAATAGCATGGTGAAATTATTATCTGACTGCCCTGCCCAGGTCAGCTCCTAAAAGCTGCCACTGCAACTCAACTGAGGTTCTTAAAACCTAAATCTCCTTATCTGTAAAAATAAGGCTAGTACTTGCCTGGTCACTTTACAAATTTATTAGGAGACTCAAATATGATAACGTATGTGTAACATGTTTTGAAAATTGTAACACTCTCTATAAGTGTATGGCAGTCTTATTTTTATTGCTACCATTATTCAAATGCAAGGCAGAACACATAAATACAACAAAGACAAAATAATTTTAATAGACATTTAAGCATAAATTACATAGAATTTATATTTATTACTGTCAAACAGTGATACATTTATAAATGCTGAAGGGGTTTTGCGCAAGCAAAGAGAGCCAGCTAATATTAGTCTGGAATGAGTTTACAAGGAAGGCGAGGTTGAGCAGTGCTTATAAGAAGAGAAAAGACATGCTTTGGCAAAGAGGGGGTGGGAACATGTTCTAAATGGTGGGAATAACAAAAGTGCTTGCACAAAGGTGAGAGTGAATGAATAATAAACTGGGGTAATTCAATGATAAAAATTATCTGGGATTGAAATGATTTGCTGGCGGTAGATGATGAAAATCTCAAAGATCAAAAAGATCAGCATATTAAATCCTGAAAAAACTGCAGGCATGGAATCTTTTCCTTTACTTTTACAGGTTGATGTAAAATGTACATGCTGTATAATAGGTTCAATTATAAAGTACTTATCTGAACATTTATCTTGGACACAGAGAGGGAACTATTTCAGAATGCTTGTTTGAACAAGACAACAGAAATTTTTTTATGATATAAGAAATTCTTTTAAAAATTTTTCCACGGTTTGAACTTAATGTTCAACTATATGAATTATGTGAAAGAGAAAGTACTTAGATGACAAGTTGTTGATTATATAATAAGCATGAATTAAGTCTCTATATGATGAACAAGGGAAGAAATACATACTAAAATATAGTAGTTATTTTTATATTTCACCCAGTAAAACTTTTGGAAATGACATTTTCATTAAAAAGTGGCCTTTTAGCGAAAACTGATGATGTTGCTTTTAGTATTTAACAATTCTAGTAAAAGGTTTTTTTTTTTGAAAAAGCATTTAATTTATTAGCAATTTTTATATCCTATAACAAAATATTTTAGTTTTATGACTCATTTCCATTATCTACGAGCTTAATATTTACCATTAACCATTAATGAAATCATTCTCCCACAGATTCAATTCTCATTTCTATGCAGATAACTCCCAGATCTCTGTATCTATCTAGCCATAATCTCCTGAGCCCTAGACCTATATCACAAGCTGCCTATTGGACATTTCAAAATGGATGTCCCAGAAGCATCTCAAACTCAAAAAGTCCAAACAGAATTAATTATCTTTCTCCCCAAAACCAGCACTCTTCCAAATTCCCTTATTACGTACAAGGGCAGCACCATCTTTCCCTAGTGCAGGTTTACAATTCATGTGTCATACTCATGGCCTGACATCCCCACATATATTCAACAAGCTGCCAAATATCATTTATTTCTCCACAGTGTTTCTCACAAATATCCCTTTCTTTTTACACACAAACTCATGTACTCTATGGTCCAGCCAAAGTGGACTACTAGCTGTTCCTCACATACGACATCCATCTACATACCTTTGCCTTATATGTTCCCTATACCTAGAATGCTCTTCCTCCATACCTATGCCTCTTCGAAATCCTCAGTTCCTCCAAGAATCTGCAAGAGGCCTTTCCTGGTCCTCCCAGCTGCAAGTGCCTTCCTATCCAAGGTTGCCTTGTGTCTGTTTTGTATGGGTCATACTTAGAGACATATGAATTCATATTTTCTCCTCTATTAGACTGTAAGCTCCCTGAGAACAGGCTGTTTAATTTTTGTCTTTTCACCCCTAGTGTTTAACACAGTGCCTGGGATACTACGCACTTAAAAAATATCTGACTGACTGACTGACTTTAGAGAATCATATTGTACCTTCAATTCCCAAAGGCATGGCTGTAGAAACATGTCTCTCTTAATGATGCTATCATAATTCTAAGGAAAAGAGCAGCAACAACGCAGGATGCTTTAAATATACTAAACTAAAAACACATTCATAAGTTACAATTAAAATACATATACCTTTTCTTCCAAATTTCTTAAAATCATCAAATTGTTGAATGAGAAGAGACCTTAGATATTCTTTTATTCTTTTCCTTTCTCACAGTATTTTATTTTCCTCCTTTTTACATTAAGAAAGTCTCAAAAGATTTAGATTACTAAAATGATATGGCATTAATAAACATAGCAATGGGATAAGAAATTAATTGAATCTATTTCAACTTGAAATATTAAATATCCCAAATTTCTAAATATTATTGAGGAAATTAGGTAAAACTGCAATAAACTTCATATAGAAAATAAAATATGTCCATCACTGGTTATCAACATTGATAAAAATACAGCTTTGCTGGTATACACAAGTCAAATACCAAATACAACCTAATCAAAATATTACATAATTGATTAAAAGCAGACTTCTATAATTTCATTTAACACAAAATAATGAAACTTATATTAAAACATTTTCCTAATAATTTTAAAGAAAATGTATGCTGCTCAAGTTACAGACTGCTTCCCTTGTATATCTGAATCCAAACCACAGTTCGCTATTCCTTCCATATAAGTATATTTCTGTTTTTTATTTTTTTCCATAATAATCATGTTCAAGAAAAAATCATAATAGTTCTTTATGTAGTACTCTGTAGTTCACAAAACATTTTACATTTGTTATCTCATTGAACCTTCATATCAGCCTGGTAAGGTAGGTATTGAAAAGACTGTCAAATACATTCCATAAGTGAGGAAGTGTACTCAGAAGGATTAAATAATGTGCTGAAAGTTTCATGGCTAATAAAGCAGGAGAGCCAGGCCATGGACCCTAACCCTTTGATACCCAAACCAGCAGTCTTTCAGGGCCACCACAGTGACATATTTTATAATAATAACAACAAAAAAAACAAACATCTCTTTTACTTCCTCAACTCACTGACCATACCTTTGTTAATAAGCATCAGTCTTTACTAGAACTCAAAGTTCTTGGCTGTCATCTTTATATGTCACAGAAACTCAGAACTTTAAAGTACCTTATGGAGCACCTAGTCCAATCCATACCTAAACAAGAATATTCTCTACATACTCAACAAGTGGACATCCAGCTTTTGCTGGAAGACTCTTATAAAAACCCACTAACTGTGAAAGCAGCCAATTCTACTTTTAAATAGTTCTCACTGTTGAGAAATTTTTCTTGAGATTTAGCTGAATTTTACTAAATGTCACTTTTATTATTTAGTGTATTTTTACTTATTAAGTAGGAGTCTTACCTTTGTAATCATAAATATAGACCAGTATTGGCTCATTTTGACCAAATGCACAAAATGCCACCATATGTTCATGTGGATGAAAAGCAACATCTCGAAGAGGTGATGTGAATGAAAGGTCAGAATACATTGCAACTTGGTCTCCTAGAAAAGGAAAAAATAATATTACTCAATGAGTCAATTCTTTTGAAGTTTCATTTTTCTATCCTTCAATACACTGATGAATCTATGATCTCATCAACTCTGCTGATATCCCTGCTGATATTAAGATTATTATATTAAAGTTATATTATTATCATCATCATTATTATTATATCCTTTGAGGTTTAAAAAACACACTATATACACTCTATCTCACTTTATTCTCAAAACAACACTGTGATGTACTAAAAATATTAAGATTCAACAATTTGTATATTCACAAAAATGCCTATGCACAAAGGTATTTCGCAAATAATTAATATTTTTATAGTCATATAACTGAAATTTTAAATCTTGAATAATTCAAATATTTTAGAAAGCATTTTAAGTAACTATATACCTTAAATTAATTATTTATCCTTGACTTATACATCCTAGAGTTAACTGGAATTATACAGCGAGTTCATAACTTATGAACATCTCAGTTACAAATATTTCCCATAAACCAATAACTAGTTTGTCTGAGGCCTCACTTCTCAACCACATCTCTGCTGGAATATCTCCAGTCCCCACCATCACTAAAGACAGTTTCCTATCCCACCCTTTACTGCCTCAGAAACCCAATTTCTATTGCATATGCTTGGTGTATGTGTGAATGTGAGTGGGGATGAGGAGTGGAGGGCTATTGTTGAGGGGAGAGAAAGGAACTATTCCCATACATGGGGCTGCTTGATTGATCAAGTATCAATAAATATTTGATAATGAGGATAATGTGTTTCTATCATCCTGAAATGGAAGGCAAAGTAAACTTTTCATATACAAACATGGTTATGAATGGTAAACGAAACAGTATTATTTTAGTACAGTAACAACTGACCTAGATAGGACTCACTTACTTAGCTTTCTTACTTATTCTCTAAGAGACACCAAGAACAAGGGATTAAATAAAATATGCATGACGAAGTCCATGACTTTTATTCACAAATGACTTCTACAGGTCCTATTTATTCTCAGGGCCTCTTTATTTTCATACACAAAGCTAACAATCTTGGTTTTCTTGTTTCTAAGCCCACAGAAAATTATAAGAAGCAAATTATAAAGTTAAAAAAGCAGGGGGAAAAGTGACAGGGCTGATATAGGAGGAAATGAGACATAAAAATATAAAAGCAAAGCAAGCAACAGAACTCCAAAAGACACAGCAGTGAAGATTCATGCAGTGTGGGGCCAAATGTCCTATCACATCTGGCATAACCCAGTGCTTTTATTGTACTACAATCTAATACAATAACCAGCATTCATAACGATGAATTGGATTTATGAAACAGAAATACTAAAGTGTGTTTGGTAGACTGTTTAACAAAAGTCAGAAAAGCATTTAATACATTTTTTAAAGATTTACCTTCACAAAAGTAATTATTTAAAAAGTTTTGATGTTTAAAAGGATAAAACCTTTTGTTATCCAAACATCTCTGCAACCGAAAATGGCCTACTGGCTTAAAGCTTCCAGACGCCAAATTCATGGCATTGTTGAACCACAATCTAATTTAAATGTGCAATCTTGGAAGCCTAACACTAAGGATGTTTCTAAAGCAAAATACATTCTAACAGTTCTAAAATTTCCGAAATACAATCCATTTCTACAAAGTAGAGTATCAGTCAAATATAGGCCACACTTTTTCCTTGCACTGACAAGTAAAACCTGAGAATCATCTGAAAACAACGCTCATATTAGGAATGAGGATCAAGGGAATGAAAATAAAAGTTATGAACAAAAACAGAAGAGTGATAAGACTGAATAAAAATATTTACTGAAGTTTTAAAAATAAAAAACCCTTCTATAGTATGTCTTATACAGTCATTTTAAGCAATTATTTTTCAGTATATAACTTTTTTTTCCTTTTGAAGAAAACCCAACTTTAGAGGTAAAGTTTACTGAGCCTTTAATTACTTACAGTTGGACTTAAAAAGCAATCACAAATCTAAGGACTTGAGGTTTCCATCTAGATTTCTTTTGTTGCTGTTCTTGAAACATTTCATTCATGTCTGACTCTTTGTAACCCCATTTGAGGTTTTCTCGGCAAAGCTATGGATTTGCCATTTTCTTCTTCAGCTCATTTTACAGATAAGGAAACTGAGACAAATAGACTTAAGTTACTTGCCCAGGGTCACACAGCTTGTAAGTGTCTGAGGCCAGATTTGAACTCATGAAGAGAAGCCTTCCCAACTCCAGGGCTGGCACTCTATCCATTGCATTACCTAGGTGCCCCTCCATCTAGACAGCCCACATCAGTTAATATTTTAAAATAATACCAATGTTGCAAAGAAAACTACTAAATATCCAAATTCCTATGGAATTTAAATAGAAAAAAATCTAGTCTATGGAAAATAGAGTAACTTGGTTTTATCTTTTCCTCCACACTAAAACATCTACTCTGTGACCTGACCTAATCACCTACAATGATTTTCAATAGCATTTCACAATCTAACATTTTATACTAGTAACAAAAGAAATAATTTGTCACACTCAACCAAGTATCTTCTATCAGGTAAAAAAGGATATCATCGATGGGCAAGACATATTTAATAGCCGTTAGACAATGGACAGGACAAGAGATAGACTGAGATGAAAAGAACATTTAAATTCCATTTCATGAAGCTCTCCAAATGACTTCTTGAACAAATGTCTTTAGTTCCAGTTTAAAACTTTTCCATCATAAAGCAGATGAGGCAGAGGCATGGGGCAAATCAAATTTAAAAGTTTACTCAAGCAGAAGAAATTTGAACTCTTTAAGGTAAAATTTCCAATTAGATATTATTTAATCTATATATTTTGATTTTAATTATAATTTAAAATAATAGCCCAGCTATAAAATTTACATTAAAATGTAGATATAACATCAATACAAGACACATGATTTTCCTCAGGTAATATTATTCTAATTGTGATACTATCTCACTATAGGACTATACTTTAAAAAAATGGACTCAGAGAGTGCATCATTGAAGTATTCTGCCAAAATAGCAAATTAGGGAAGAAATAAGAAATGGTAAAAAGCAAAACAAAATTTAGCATGAAATTAGTTTTCTTAGCATCTTTCTCATCTTTATGAAAACAAATCAATAGCCTTCAAAAATAATACTAAAAGTTTAGACGTGGAATTTTCTGGGAAACTATTTCATTAAATGGGCAGCTAGGTAGCATAGTGGATAGAGTATGGGCCTGGAGTCAGGAAGACTCATCTTCCTTACTTAACCTTACTTCCTTACACTTAACCCTGCTTGCCTCAGTTTATTTGCCTATTTATTTGCCTATTTATCTGTAAATCTGTAAAATGAGTTAAAGATGGAAACGATAAACCACTCCAGTATCTTTGCCAAAAACAAAACAAAACAAACAAAAAAAAAAACCCAACAAACCCAAATGAGGTCATGAAGAGTCGAACACAACTGAAAATGATTGGACAACAAACATTTCATTAAATGTGTTTTTATAGTTTCCTATATTTTTCCTACATCATTCGTTTATTTTATCAAGACCTAAATAAATTCTTACCTGTTTCTGGGTTCCAAACATATGCTATACCATCCTCACTCCCAGAAAAGAGAAAAGTCCCACATGGTGTTAAAGTACTATGAATCTTCTCCCTGTAGTTTGCAGCACCTACATACTTCCTTGTTGCTAATCTAAAAAAAAAAATAATCTAATAAATCTTTATTTCTTTAATGTACTCATTAATGTTAACATTGAATCATCTTTAAAAATTAGTATTCAGAATAATTTTCTATTAAATAATTCAAGAATATCATTCACATGAAATTATTTTAAATTATCATATTTACAATCTATATGTATATGATTTCCTTCAAAATTTCCCTCCTTTTGGATTTGAACGATGTTGAGTCCTTTTTAGGGGCATTTAGTCTTTACTAGAGTTATCATTATTCTTGGGCTTTATCTGCTATATATACTGACATTATATAATTCTTTTAAATTCTTATCACCAAACACAGTGCAAGATATATCGCTCAGACCCTTATGACCTCATGCCTGGGTTATTACAGTAATCTAGCATTGAGTAGTTATTTCTTCAGTGACTTGAGAATGCTTTTAAAAATTTCTTAGTTAAATAAAACGCTTATTTTTTGTAAGTCACAAATTCAATAAAATAGCAACCTCTCATTTGTTCTATAGGAACACCAATGTAAAAAATAAAAACTACTTTAGAAAATATGTCCTTTCTCCCTTAAGAATCCCATTTCTGCTTTTTCCTTTTAAGTACATGATCCCATGATAATCTTACTTTGAAAAAAAATGAGAAAACATAGATTCAGAGTTGTAAGGAACCTCCAAGGTCATCATCTAAGCCAATAATTTTATAGAGGGGAAACTGAGGCAACAAGAAATTAAGTGACATGATCAAGATAATAAAAGCATTAATGCATGCAAGAGCCAGGATTTGAAGTCAGATTCTCCTACTGTAAATTCTAACTCTTTCCACTGTACCACTCCCTTACCCCAGGTTAATTTATTAGATGAAATATCTTTTGAACTAGTCATGCATTTTGTGTAAATTTTATTTTTCACTGCTACATGTAGAATAACACTGCTAATTCTACTATTCAGATAAAGGGAATTCTTTTACTAAAAGCTGCAAATTGATGTTCAATTAAAAAAAAGCATTTTTTAAAAAAGGAAATGGCAAACTTTAAAAAATAATGAAATACATAACAAAAAAACTGATCCATATGAACCAGCTAATTAATAAGACTAACACTTAAGGTTAATTGTTCTGTTACCATTTAAATCTACTTACATCCGGAGATCCATAATTCTCAGAGTACTATCCTTGGCATGTATTAACAAACGCCTTCCATTTGGATGAACTTCTAAGTGGCTTATAGGAATCCCCTTAATATCATTTTCTCTAATTTCCTATAATGACAGAAAATTCAAAAAAAACTATGATAAAATTTCATTCAAATGGAATTTAAAATATTTTTTAAAAATCAACATCTCTATCTGTAGTTAGGAAGCTTTTAAATGTCTTGCTAATGGTTGAAGATAATAAATATTTAAATGGCTTGATAAAAATTCCTTTTAACTTAAGATGAGTTGAAAGTTATATATAAACTTTACTCTGTTTTATAAAAGTCTGTTTTAAACGACCCTATTTATTTCTATACCATGGAAATCCATTTTATAACAAATTTATGTTTTTAAGATTTTTAAAGTCCATAATTAACATTTACTTCTACTCATAAGCTCCTCTTTTAAAAGATACTAAAATGTCTAATTTCAGTTTAATTCACAGATAGGAAAAATGTGAAAGCTGAATATATAAGCTTTTAAAGTTTATGCATTCACAAAAGAAAGGCAGAAGTCAACCTTTAAATACTATTCCAATCTCTAACTATTTCAAAATAGACTTCCATCTCAACTTAGGGGAAGGGAGTTATTGAGATATTATTCTTCAATCATTTAATTTAGCTTGTAACTGAGGGGGTTTTAGACAGTTGCTCTAGGCAGCTACAGAAGGCGCCCTACTAATGATGTCAGGGAAGCCGAAATACTGCAGTGTTGGTTACTTGTCTGGACTGGCATTGAATCAGAAGAGGCTATCCAAGGTCCGCCAGGCAATTTTCTTGTCTGGATGACGGAGAGAAAAGGAAAAGTTGTAAATGCAAAATCACTGAGGGAAGGCGAGAGAAATAAAGGGCATATGGTCCCTTACCAATACGCTAAAGCTTATATAGCCTCCTCTTCCTCAAGGGATCTTCTTTTTCCTTTTTTCCTTTCCTCTCCCGGGGGCCTCTCCTGATCTAGACAAGTAGAGACAGAAAGACCTTGAATAGCGCTTCTGTCCCAGTGTCATCAACAAATGCCATGGGTACTGAGCACCAAAAGGTACTGGGCCAGCAATAAAAATGAACCAATGGAAGTGATAAACTAAGGGGAAAATATGGAAGACATACCTCCCCAAAAGGGTATTTTACAGAGTTAAAAAGTGAATGTAATTTGAGAAACGCTCTTCTGAAAGTGAAAGCAACACTTACACTGATATAAAGGTGAAAAAAAGAAAATTAATCTGCATAACAAGTTGAGGATGAGGTGTAAATATGACATTACTACTAGATTTACATTTTTTACTAGCTATTGCAAAAATCCTCTTTTTAAAAAAATCATTTTTGTTCTCAAACTGAGCAATTCTGCAGGGGCAAAAACTACTATTTTATTTAAATTTATGGTCCTGAACTAAGGACACACAGCACAGACATGTCTTCAAAGTTTCTTGTTCTACATAAGCTGCTTGCACCCAACTCCTTACTCTGTTGGCCAACAAAGTACAAGAGAATAAATTTAATTCTAAGTTGCAGTATGTACTGTTAAATTCCAAAACCGATTAGAAACTGAAAAGAGCCATGAGAATTAACTATTTTTTGACTTTTTCTTTTTGAATATCTCAAATGGAATATTATTGGAATGCAGCAATTCAAGGCAAATTGTCTTTTAGTTGCTATTTTTGAGATAAAGAAACACACAAGGGCTTTCACAGCAAATAATAAACTGTGCTTTATGTACTTAAGTGATTAGAATGGGGCATTTGGAATCTTGCCAGTCACTCACATAATATAAGTAATTAGACAGCTCTTTTTAAAATATGTGTAATTAGGCTATAGTATGAAACCCAACACACCACTCATTAACCTGACAGACCAGAATGATTCCAAAAAGAATACATACAAATGTTTTTTAAAACAGGTTTTAGAGACTCAGGAGGTTGAATTAAAGCTCACAAAAGGTCTTTTCCCCAACTTAAGAGAGTCTTTCATTTGTACTCTGAGACACTGTTAATGAACTTCATTATGAAAATTCTAAGAACAATAGTATCTTCATGTAGGACAAAATCTTTAAGAGATAAGCAAATATCAAGAAGCAGTGTGGTACGCTACAAACAACACTGACTTGGAGGTCAGAGGCCCTGAGTTCAGGCCCTTCTGTCACTTAGAATTTCTGGGATCCATTTTTTTTTTCCAGGGCACTTTGTGTTTCTGGGCCTCAATTTCCTCAGCTGAAAAATGAGAAAGTTAGACTAGAGGGCCTCCTGGGTCCCTTCCAGCTCTAAATCTAGGCTCTTAATCTTATTAGTCATATTAACTTAAAACTCAACTTTCTGGAATTATGTTATTTCCTCTTAAAAGATAAAATCATCAATAACAAACTACCAAAAAACCCATTAAAAATTTTAAAATAAGGCACAATGGACAATAAATATATATATGTATGCATATGTGTGTACATATGTGTGTGTATATATATACATATACACACACACACACACACATATATATATCAATTTGTTCCCATATACCAATCTGTCACTTTTTTTTTTTACAGTTTTTAAAAATTTTAAACTTAAAAATATAAAATGAGAAAAGAAAAAAAACATTGCCATGTAGACAGTAGGTCATAAGAGTGGACTCAATATAAAATAATAAATTTCCATTTCAAGAAAACCTATATAATAAATACTACACTTCGTTCTCAAAGATGCCCAGCTTTTCTTTGCCTCCTTCTTGGTTTTCTTTTGTTCTTTGCTGTGCACTTTTTACTTTACTTTTTTTCCCCTCCCTCCCCTTTCTGCACCCTAAAGAAGGCTACTATTAAGAGTGGATACATATACATAGATATTTATAAATATATACATATATATACATAGACACTCATACACATATACGTAAGACCATACTATGCTTATTTCCACCTGTCATAGGTCCAATCTTTCCATGTTTTTCTAAATCAACCAGCTCATCATTTCCTACACCACAGCAATATTCCAACCCACTCATATCCTATTTGAGAGACTGTCTACGAAAGTTTTTCCCTGATTTTCTGCATTCTTTCTATTCTTGGCTACATAGGTTTTATTTATACAAGAAAATTTTAATTTAAAATAGTTGAAATTATCCTTTTTACATTTCAACAATGCTCCCCCTTATAACAGTTTAAGGTCTGATACTGCTGAGTTCCTTTACATACTTTTTTCCTGGTTTCTTTGAAGTTCCTGACTTCTAGCTCTTCCAAATGAACTTTGTTACTATTTTTTCTAACTCAATAAAATAATTTGTAGTAATTTAATTGGGCTGACATTGAATAGATAAAATTGTCATTTAAAAAATTATATTGGCTTTACCTACCCATGAACAACAAATATTATTCAATTATTTAGATATGAGTTTCTTTGTATGAAAAGTGTTTTATATTTATGTTCATTCATATAGTTCCTATGTATATTTTGGCAGGTATATGCTCAGGTATTTTATAATGTCTAGGCATTTTAAATGGTCTAAAACAGAACTGAATAATATTGCTGACACATAGTATAGTTTTTCTATTTTTCATTTTTGATTAAATCTATTTTAACTTTAACTTTGTCTGAGATCATGATTATTATCCCTGCTTTCTTACATAATAAATTCTACTCCTGCCTTTTATTTTATCTGTGTGTATCTCTCATTTTTATAATGTTTCCTGAAAGCAACATATTGTTGAATTCAAATTTTTAATCTGCTATTCATTTCCGTTTTATGGGTAAATTCATCCCATTCACATTCTAAGTTACAATTACTTGTGTATTTTCCACCTTCCTATTTTTCCTCATTATCCTTCTCACCCTATGTACCCTAATCTATCACATTTCAACACAAAACAAATCCCAACAATCAAGTGACAGGTCTAATTACAACTACATAATTCTAAAATACAAAACTGCTGACAAACCACTGACAAAATAACAATGTGAAATGAACCATTACAGGGTCAAGATGAAAAGGAGGAAAGCAAGAAATTCAGTGTTCTATAATACTAATTCTAAATGTGGAAAGGTTAAAAACTGGAGCTCAAAATTCACATAAATATTTTCCCTATATATAGTAAAATCTAAAAGACTGACTAATATCTAGAACATCTTCAGTGAGTCATCACTTATATTTATCAGCCACTTGCAAAATGTTAGGAAGATATTCAAGGGAATTTAATTTCCAACTACAATAAGCATATATATTGTTAACTTGAAAAGAGAAAATTGCACATCATTATTTATGTTTTTACCTCCTTAATGAATCATCAAAATTTAAAATATGACTTTATAACCTTATTTATGTTCCAAAGTCGAACTGGATGTTGTTCATTTTCTCTGACCAACGTATCCCAGACAATAATCAATCCTGAACTGTCTCCTGAGTACATATGAAGTCCTGTGAGGAAAAAAAAATCATTTACAAATACAAAAAATTAAGCAAAATTTTTTTTATTCATTAAACATTCAGTAATATGCAGATGACCGTCCCAGGCTGTATAAGAGACACAAAATTTAGGTAACACATGGTTATAGTCCTCAAGAAGCTTATAGTCTAGTAAAGGGATAAGAAACAAACAGATAACAATAATATGCAATATTATACTAGAAGTCTGTTGTATAAAACCAAAGTCTATGTAACATCTAAGTAAAGAGAATCAGGGAAGGCTTAACGGAAGAGGTGGCATCTGAGACGGAAGCACAGCATCTCAAGTTGGAAGGAGACACAGAAACCGTCTAGTTCAGACTTTTCCCGAGAAAAAAATCCCTTGAGCAGCGTCACCAAAAAAGAGTCACCAAGCTTCCATTTGAAATCCTATAGGAACTCTTAACTCTCCAATGCATCCCATTTTACTTCTGGATACCTAAAATTGTTAGAAAGTTTTTCCTCAATCAACTAATAAAAATTTATTAAACAACTACTATGTGCCATGAACTGGGCATGGCTGGCACACAAAGCCAAAATCTGATTCTTTTTATCTTCTTTAAAGCATTGATCCTTGTTCTGTTGTCCAGGACCAAGCAGAACAAGCACGGTCCTGTTTCTTCCCTTTTTTATTTTAAAACTATTTTAAATACTATAAACTTAATAATTAAAACAAACATTTTATATAAGAGACATATAAGAAACTGTTCAGTTTGTTTTTAAGAAGTATATACTTCTATATAGATGTATGTAAAAGAGTAACAAAGTTGTTCTACTTCTTTATGTCTCCTTCACTTTTTAGTTTTCATTTCTTTTAAGGAAACTGATTTTATTAATGATTTTCTCTTATTTATCATTACCCACTAGCTTACCATCCTCCCCCACCACCTTTCCTTATAAAAAATACATATTGCTGAGCAAAACAAATTAACACATTAGCCACATTTGAGACCATATATGTCATACGTCATCTTATGTCCACCACCTTTCTGTGAAGTCATCATCCTTCTAAAATCAGTATTCTTTGTAGTTTCAATCAAAATTTTCAAGGGCTTTAAAACTGCTTTGTTTCATATTATTTTGCTTTCATCCTATAAATTGGTTTCCAGGTCCTGCTCATTTCATTTAGCATTAATTTATAAAAGTCTTCCCAGGTTTCTTCTAATCTGTCATATCTGCCATTTAAAAATTATTCTATTCTACTCATATACCACAATTTCCTCAGCTATTCTCCATTTGATGGTTGCTATTATTGTTCAGTCGTTTCAGTCATGTCTGACTGAACCTCAGAAACTCAATAGCTTTCATAAAATAACAGACAACAAATCATAAAGTAACTGACAACAAATCTGCCTCTTGCAAATATACACCTCAGAATATTGTTGAGAATTCAATAAATACATTATACTGGAACCACAGCATTACCATTGACAAAACTGTTGCCCACAACAGCCCAAGCATAACAGTAATCCATAAAATATTAAGAGAGACCTTTAAAAATAGATGTCATCACATCCAATGCTTAATATCTAACTTTGGTAGAATGAAAAATTTTTGAAAGAAATCAAAAACACGTGAGAGCAGGATGAGGGTCATATCATCCTCAATTACCTGCCTGCTACTGGAGTTGTTTCAAAAATGCTTTCAATGAACCCTACAGGATATGAGATTAAATTCTCATACTTTTATTCAGTTGCCAAAAGCAGTTATTTTATTCATCTCTGCACGCATCCACAGAATCTTAACTCTCAAATAAAAACAGCAGGCTAACAACTTGTGACAGAGGTATTTCTACTCAAATAAAAAAGAAGAGGGAAAATAATAATAATATAGTGATAATAATTGACATTTACACAATACTTTAACATTTGCAAAGGGCTTTACATCAATTATTTCATTGATTCACACAACAACCTGTTAAGTAAGTATAAAAAAGTATAATGAGAAGTTGAGATTTCTAAGAAATTACAATAAAGAAATGAGAAAAACTTGTATTTCATGTGGCTATCCTCTGAATATGGAGGACAATGTATAGCTTGTATTCTACATACCTTCAGCATCAAAACAGAGAGAGTTGATAAAACTTTTGTGGCCATCAAATTCCTGTAATAACTGACCATGAACTTCTTTCACTTTAACATTCCACACTCTTATCACAGAATCATAACATCCCGTAACTACCAGGTACCCTGCAACTGGGTGAAATTTGGCCGTATAGACAAATGAAGGATGAGGGAAAACTTTTACAGCAGCTGAGCCTTGGCTTTCAATTTTCCACATTCTGGAAAGAAAAGTCATATATTACATACATGCACACGTACACATATACTAGTTAAGGTCTAAATATAAATACAAAAAAAATGACAAAACAGGAAAATGATAAATGTTGGATAAAATGTGGGAAAACTGGAACATTAATGCATTGTTGGTAGAGTTGTGAACTGATCCAACCATTGTGGGGAGTAATTTGGAACTATGCCCAAAGGGCTATAAAAATGTACATACCCTTTGACCCAGCAATAGCACTTCTAGGGCTGTATCCCAAAGAGATAAAAAAAAAACAGGAAAAGGACCCACATGTACAAAAATATTTATAGCAGCTCTTTCTGTGGTGGCAAAGAATTGGAAATTGAGGGGATGCCCATCAACTGGGGAATGGCTGAACAAATTGTGGTATATGAATGTAATGGAATACTATTGTGTTATAAGAAATGATGGAGCAGGCAGACTTCAAAAAAACCTGGAAAGACTTGTATGGACTGATGCTGAGTGAAGTGAGCAGAACCAAGAGAATGCTGTATACAGTAACAGCCACATTGTGCGATGACTAACGCTGATAGACTCAGCTCTTCTTAGCAATGCAAGGATCCAAGACATCTCCAAAAGTCTCATGATAGAAAACGCTATCCAAATTCAGAAAAAGAACTGTGGAGTTTGAATGCAGATCGAAGCATACTATTTGCTCTTTTTTTCTTCTATTTTGTTTTGTTTCTTCTTTCTTGCGGTTCCTCCTATTAGTTCTAACTCTTCTTTCAACGTGACTAGTGTGAAAACATGTTTAATAAAAAGTATATGTAGGGCCTGTATCGGATTGCACGCCATCTTGGGGAAGGAAACAGGGAGAGAGGGGGAGAAAATTTGAAACTCAGAAGTTTATGGAAGTGAATGTTGAAAACTAAAAATGAATTAATTAAAAAATACAAAAAATTTTTTTCTAATAACACACAGAGCCCCAAACAAAGATATGTCTTTAAAATAATTCATGGGAAATAGAGACTTAATCTGACGTTAATTCTATAACTAAATCCATTAAACATCAATTAACTGTTATTTGGAACATCACTCCCATCCTAAGTATTTTAATATCGTTGACTTCTGATAGTTATAAATAATCTGTCTACTCATCAACAGAGGTTAGCTACATAACTCAATGAATTAATAAGATATTGTATAAAACTAGAGCAGCAGTAGCACAGTAGAGTAAATAGAAAGCTAGATTTAGAACCATGAAGACATGGGTTTAGGCCCCACCTCTGCCAGGTACTGGCTGTGTGACCTTGGCAGTATATTGGGCAACTCTCTAAGACTATAAATGTTGCCAATAGTAGAGGGAACAGTAAAAGTTTATTATATTAATGAATACAAATTCGAAGTTCACCCACACTTTTCAAAATAGAAATGATAAACATTACTATCAAGTGAAACTAAACCCCATATTGTGTTCTTTAACATAAACTGAAGAGTTTATGGGAGGTAGTGTGTTAGAGAGGAAATGCACTGGAGCTCAGGTGACCAGACTCATTTCCTTGATTCTGTTATTGCCAGTGTGACTTTGGGCAAGCCTGTTTACTTCTAAGACTCAGTTTCTTCATTTGTAAATTGTGCACAATACTTTTCTAGGACAAATTGCACTTAATGAGTGACAGTGGTAACAGGCAAGTTTAGGCCTTAGAACTCTTTCTAATAAGCAGGTTATCATGCTCTTTACATTTTAGATAGGCTAAAAGATCAGAAACAGATATATTTCAAGTTATTTTTTCATGATTTGAAATAGGAAAAATGGATGCCTTTGAAAAATATGTGTTCAAAACCAGAAACTTAACTGTTTAAACACAGAATAAGATCGATGGATAATGTGAAAGTGCTGCCATGCTTTAAAAAAATTCTTATGAAACAAAGATGTATATAAAAGGTCTGAAAATTCCAAATAAAACTTTCCGTGTTAAAAAATAAATTACTAAGTTGTTAATCACTGTTGCTGTTCTAAGGACTCAGACACTTGAAGGATCAAACCCCAGAATGTATGAGGATGGATGTTAGCTCAGGCCTTCTGAGTATCTACTGTGCCTCTTAGCTGCCTCAAAACAGTCACTTACTAGCTGTGACCCTGAATGAAATACCTTAACTCTGTCTACTTCAGTTTCCTCACCTGTAAAATGCAGATAATAATAGCACCCCAATAACCATAGGGTTATTGTGAAGATTAAATGAGATATTTGTAAAGCCCTATATAAATACTAGCTATTATTATTAAGATAAGAATTGTGTATAACACAAAAAAGAGAGTCAGTGCCAGATGTATACAAAGGAAATAATATTAGGACTAAGATTAGAATTATATCAATTATATAAAATAAGCAAGTGAAAATCTCAAATGAAATAAAACATGACTGAAATAAGAATAAAGTATGTATTAAATTCCATTTCAGTGTATAAGTACCTTTTACTTTATATAACCGCACTCTAGAAAAGTTTGCTATAGTGCAAATCCTATTTTATCACTGACTACCATAAAATCAGTGAGGAAATACTGAGAAAGGAAAAGAAAAATTCCCCAAAAGACTGAAATAACAAGCTTGGCACTACAGCACAAAAAGGCTATGCTTATAGGACACAGAACACTGTAGTGCTGTAGTCTAAGACTCATACCTTTTGGACCACAACCTGAAGCTTTCCTCTCCTCCTCCTCTTGCTCCTTCTCTTTCACCTCTTCCTCTTCTTTGTGTCTGGTTATTTACAATGGGATCGCTCAGATATGGACTCTAGCAAGTGTTTTTGCATAAACTGTTCTGTTTGATCCTTACAATTTGGCAAAACAGGTAATTACAAAATTCTCATCTCCATGTTACAGATAAGGAAACTGGGGACAGGTGGGTCACAACACTACGAAAACAGTGCAGATGGTGCTCATAACCTGGTCTTCCATTCAAGGTCACCGTTCAAGGTTCTTCTCACTACACCATTATCTTTTAATGTGAATTTTATTGCTATACTAATTAAACTGAAAGTGATAGAAAGATAAGTTCTAATTTTCAGAAAAGATACACCCAGAGAAATAAATATTCTTAAAGCATAGAAAAATAAGCTATTAAAACATTTTTTTAGAAACTTGTAATAAATATGTCCTAATTAGCAGAGAATTGAAAATATATAAAAGATAAATCAAATACACATTTAAAAACTGTGCTTAGCACAGAAATTTAACATTACATAATCAATTTGTAAAATGAATATCTGCTATAGGCATATCACTGAACATAGCTGAAGCTATATTTGTATTCTTTTATCTCCCCTGATTTCCTTTTAGACTCAAATACATTAGCAGTAACCTCTCCTGAATTATACTGACCTGACAGTGCTATCAGAGGATGCAGTAAGAAGATGTTGATCGTCTTTGGACCAGCAAAGATCATAAACAATATTGAGGTGACCACAAAATTCTCTCAAGGAACACCCCGAAGGGATTTCATATACTAAAGAGAAAGATTTGAAAATTAGTGAACAGGCTATTCACAACAAAAATTTTCATAAATAACGTGACCATTTGAACTGGAAGTGGGCTAAGATTTACCTTTGTATATTTTTGAAGAGTTTATCAAGTAAACAAATAAAATTATCAAGACAAATAAAATTTCATGTTCTACTTAAGAAACTTTTCAAGTAGTCTCAAATGTTGCCGCATCACCTGATTATACATTGAATGCATTATGGCATGCTAGGAAATAGTGCTAGACTTGAGAGTCAGGAGACTGGGGTTCAAATCTCACCATGACCACTTACAAGTTATGTGAATAAGAGCAAATCATTTCACCTCTCACAAATTTATCTGGTCTTCACATCTGGAAAATGGGGATAATACTTGTACCATTGACGTTACAGGATTATTGCCAAAAATTTTTTTTTAAAGGTTGCACAATCAATCAACGAGCATTTATTAAGTGCTTACTAGTTTTAGGCACAGTGCAAAACACTAAGCATACAAAGACAAAAGTGAAACAAAGAGGTTATATTCTAATGGATGAGATAAAACATATATACTTGAATGTATTTCCAGAACATATACCAGGTAGTTTTGTGCCCAAGTGGGTGGGAGGAGAGGGTACCAGGAAAGGTTTCATAAACAAGATGACGTTTGAGGTATGTCCAGAAAGAATTAAGAATGCCCAGAGGTAGGGGTAAGGGAGAACACTTCAGGCAATAACAGACAGTGCAAAACATGGAGGGAAGAGATGGAGCTTGGTGTGTGAGGAAACATGAACAGACCAGTATGGTTGGAATTCAAAGTAAGTCAGTAAGTCAAAAAATATTTATTAAGCACCTACTATGCACTAGGCTTGGCACAAAAAAGAAGGGAAAGACAATCCTTGCCCTCAAGAAGCTCAGCATCTTATGAAGGAGACAACAAATACACAAATACGTACAAACAACATATACATATAGGATAATTAGGAAATGATAAAGAGAGGGAAGACACTAGAATTGAAAGGTTGGGAAAGGTTTCCTGTTGAAGATGGATTTTAGTTGGGAATTGATAGAAACCAGGATAGCCATTAGCAGAGATGAGGACGGACAACATTCCAGACATGGAGGACAGTCAGAGAAAATAACTAGAGCCTAGAAATGGAGTGTCTTATTCATGGAAAAGCCAGGAGGCCCATGTTACTGGATCAAAGAGTATGTTTGGGGAGTAAGGTATAAGATGACAGAAAAGGTGAGCGGGTGATAGGTTATGAAGGGCTTTGAATGCCAAACAGAGCATTATAAAAATTTGATCCCGGAAGAGATGGGGAGTCACTGGAGTTTACTGAGTAGAGGGGCGACATGATCAGACCTTTGCTTCAGAAAAATCACTTTGGTGGCTCAATGGGTAATGGACTGGAGTCGGGAGAGACTTGAGTAGGCAGACCAAACAACAGGCTATTGAAATAGACCAGGTGTGAGGTGAAAGGGTCTGTACTAGAGTGGTGGCAGTGTCGGGGAGAGAAGGAAGGATATTTGAGAGACACAAAGGTGAAATCAACATGCTTTGAATAGCTTGGATATGAGGGGTGAGAAATAGTGAGAAATTCAGGATGACTCCTAAGTTGTGAGCCTGAGGAACCTGGAGGATGCTTTTGCCCTCTACAGTAACAGGAAATATAGAAGGGGAAAATGATTTTGGAGGAAAAATAATGAATTCTGTTATCATGTTGAATTTAAGATGTCTACTGTATACCCATTTTGAGATATCTGAAAGGTAGTTGGAGATGGAAGACTGAAGGTTAGCAGGGGTTAGGGCAATACAAGTAGATTTGACAATCATCAGCAAAGAAATGATAATTTAAAAATGGGAACTGATGAGATCACCAAATTAAGCAAATAGAGAGGGAGAAGAGAAGAGGTCCCAGAACAGAACCCTGAGGGACACCTGTGGTTAGAGGGCATGATTTGGAAATATTTTACTTAAATTCCATGTTCTAATAAATTAAAATATTCCCAAAATATAGGGATTCTTTTGCATTGATATGGTTAGAAATTGATGGAGCTAAAATAGTGGAATATTTATTCCAAAATATATCTCTAAAATGAAAATTTTGAATTTCATCTCTGCTACATTGCATGGAAAGTTTATAAACATCTACTCCCACCTAGTGGTTCATACCCTAACACAATACCACTTTAAACAATTTAAACCACACAGTTAAATTACACAGGATGAGCAATTTGCCTACTGTTTCACTCTAATATGTATTTCCTCTACTTGGAATAATTGATTTAGACTAACTATGTATTAAGGGGCAGCTATACATGGTACAGTGGATAGAGTTCAGGGACTATAGACAGGAAGACTCATCTTCCTGCATTCAAATCTGGCCTTAGACATTTACTAGCTGGGGGACCCTGGGCGCATCATCTAACCTTGTTTGCCTTAATTTCCTCATTTTTAAAATAAGCTGGAGAAGAACATAGTAAACCACTCCAGTATCTTTGCCAAAACAACCCCAAATGGAATCACAAAGATCGACACAACTAAAACGACTGAAACAAACTATATATTAAACTACTGCCCCAAACTCTAATCCCCATTTAGGTATCTGTTTTAATGTTTGCTCAGTAAGTAGGATGGTTGAAACCTAAACTAAATATGCAAGGCTCTAACCCACACTCCTAATTTTTGGTTTCTCCCTACATGCTGATTTCTTCCCTGAAACCTGGCTTCTGACTTCATGACACAACTGAAACTTTTCTTTCTCTCCTTCTAAAGTTACCAATGATCTCTTAGTTGTCAAATCTAGTTCTCAATCCTATACTTCATGACCTCTCCAGTATCTGACCCTACTGACCACCTCTCCTCCTAGATATTTTCTTTTTCTTTCGACATTGCATCTCTTCCCTCTCCTCCTACCTGTTTGATCACTCTAACTCGGTCTCCTCAGTTGGAACGTCATCCATATGATGCCCCTTAATTCTTAGGTACATCTCAAGGCTCTGCCCCAGCCTCTTCTCTTCTCCCTCTCTACTCTCTTACTTGGTGACCTCATCAGCTACCATGATAATTATCCTCTTTATACAGCCAAACTCCATACATATCACCTGAGATAAAATCTTACATCACCAATTATTGGACATTTCAAATCATATATCCCACAAACAGTAAACCTCAACTTGTCCAAAACAATTCATTATCATTCTCCCCAAACCCACTCTTATAACAAGCTTAGGTAGTTCTATAAGAAAACCATTATTTTTCTAATCTCCAAACCCTTATTGCCACAAGAACCAAATAAAAATTCTTCTATCTGGCACTCTCCTTCCCACAACTGACAGTATATCCAGACTGACCTTTATGCTGCTCCTCAAACATGACATTCTTATTCCTCCTAATGTCTTCTCTTCCTAAATTACCAAACAAATAGCTGAGTAACAGAGAATTATTTGTTGAAGTAGAGGGTTTATGATGACAATTCAGGCTGAGTAATTACTATAAGGAATAACAGAAAGTTTATTTTCAATTCTCACTTGGTTTTAGTGATCAATTTAGGTTGTGAGAGGAAATCCCTTCTTCCCTGTTCATCTCACATGACTTAAATGTCTTCCCCCCACTATCTCCTACTTTCTCTCTCTCTCACAAGAAGGGGTCCTTCTACTTGTCCACCAAACACCTCAACATGCACCCGTGCTTCTCATTCCATCCCATCTTCTTCTGCAGACTGTCATCTCAATCATCCCCACTCCCCCATTAATTTTTATTCTTTCCCTATCTACTAGCTATTTCCTTCTTGCCTACAAATATGTCCACGTCTTCCTCATGCTTAAAAATCCCCGATCCTACTATCCTTACTCGCCATCATCCTATATCCCTTTCCTTTTATGGTTAAACTCTAATCACTGCCTCCACTTCGTTTCTGCTCCCTTGACTCTAAACCCAGTTCAATCTGGCTGCCAGCTTTATTCAACTGAAATCTTCCTCTCCAAAATTACCAATGATCTCTTAAATGCCAAATCTAATGATAATATCTTGATCTCTCTGAAGCCTGTGACATTGTCAATCACCTTCTTCTCCTATATATTCTTTCCTCTTTCAGGGTGCATGTTTCTCTCTCTCTCTCTCTCTCTCTCTCCCTCCCCCTCCCTCTGCACCTCTTTTCCATTTGTACTGTCTTATTTAGTGATTTCATCAGTTCTTCCTGTTTTATTTATCATCTCTATGCAGATGATTCCCAGATCTATAGATCCAGTTCTAGTTTCTCTCCTGACTCTAGTCTCATAGCACCCATTGCCTTTTTGACACCTCCAACTACATGTCCCATAGGCATTTCTAACTCAATGTGTCCAAAACTAAACTCATTATCCTTCCTCTTAAACTCTTCCTCTTTTGAACTTTCCTATGTCAGTATCTCCTTTGAATTTCAGTCCCTCCTCACCAGCTGCCTATCAGACATTTCAAATGGATGTCCCAAAGACATCTCAAACTCAACATGACCAAAAAAAAAATTATAAGCTTTGCCCAAAAACACTTTCAAACTTCTCTATTTCTGTCAAAGGCACCACCATTTCCTTTAGCCTTTTGAGGTTTTAATCTTAGTGTTATCCTAGATTCTCCTTCACCTCAGATATCTAATCAGTTACCAGATCTTGCCCTTTTTACCTTCATACTCCCAGTGTCTCAGCTGTTTTTACTGTTTTTACTGGTACTTAGTTCAGTCCTGAGTTTAGGTAAGGTTGAGCCTAACTGCAAGGAAGAAGATCTTTCCTGGGATCCTATGTTACTGTTACAGTAAGTAGGCCCTCATGTAGCCCCCACTTTCCCATCACCACCCAAACCTTGGGCTGGACTAGCCCCTAAGTCCTCCCCATTGTGTTTTGTGTCTTCTATACAGCTCATGTATTTAAAAGTGAATTAAAGAGATTGAACCACACACACAAAATTTTTTTTCCCACATGACTCCTTCTCTCTACTCCCAGAGCTACCACCTTAGTTCAGGCTCTCATCACTTCTCAAGGCCTATTGCAACAGCTTCCTAATTGGTCTCTTGGCTTCAAGACTCTTCTCAATTTAGTCCATCCTACACCGGGCCAAAGTAATGCTCCTGTAGTCCATAACTAACCATGTGACTCCCCTATTCCTAATTTCAGTGGCTTCCTATTGCCTCTCTGTTTAGCTAGCCCTATAAGACTTGACCTCAACTCACCTTTCTAGTAGACTCACTGGACATGATTCTCCCCCCTGCAGTCTGTGATTCAGCCAAACTGGTGTTTTGGTTCCTCACACGTGACACTCCAGCTCTTCTTTCTGTGCTGTTGCATTTGTCAATCCCCATATCTGGCCTGGGGTGTGTCCTAATATTTATTCATGAAGTCCCTCCCTCCCTTAACATGCAGCTCAAGAACCAGCTTTTGCATGAAGTCTTTCTTGATCACCCTAATTCCTAGTTCCCTCTTTCTCAAATTACCTTGTAATGAATTACTTTGTATATATGTGTACTTATTCTTATTCACTTAGGGGTTGTATCCCATGTATTCCAAACACCTGGCACATAGTACATACTTAATAAATATTTGCTAATAGATTGATTAATCAAGTTGGTCTCATGAGTGTTTTGAAATACGGATTAATCCAGCAAATTTGAATTAGGAAAGTTTTTACCTTCCTTGTACTTTGTCCTTGAACCAGAATTATTATCTTTAATCTGCTCATTCTTTTAAACATCTGAATAGCACTAAAAAATGGTTAATGCTATTATATTTTAGGTGACTGAGTTTTTTGGTCTCAAAATAAGAACTGTAATGAGTTCTTTAAAAAACTAATATAAGAATTTCAAGTGCTTCTCTTCAGCATCCTCCTACAGACCATAAAATTCAGATGAAACATACAGGTTTACAACTTACAAATAACAGGATACCCATCATGGCCTGCACATGCCGCTGCTAACATTCTTCCATTCTGGGAGAAATTAATACAGAAACATCCTCGTTCTCCTGCATGCAGTGAAAACAGGTGCTTGTTTGGGATACGGCAAACCTATTGAATACAATTTCCCATATAAAGTTAGGTAAATTAAACATCTATGATGGTTCAATGATAATTTTAATTACTACTGAATTCTTTTTTTAATAATATTTTATTCCCCCCCAATTACATGTAAAAACAATTCTTTAATAAGAATTAAGTTTTGAGTTCCAACTTCTATTCCTCTCTTTCTCCCTCCCTAAGATGGAAAGTAATCTGAAACAGGTTGTACATGTACAATCACATAAAACATTTCCATATTAATCATTTTATACAAGAAAACTTGAACAGAAAGAAAGAAAGAAAGAGGAAGGAAGGAAGAAATAAAGTGAAAAATAGATTGTTTCAGTCTGTATTCAAATAATATCTGTTCTTTCTCTGGAGGCATATGGCCTTTTTCATCATGAGTCCTTTGGGATTAATCGCCTTGGATAACTATTGTGGAGAATAGCTAAGTCATTCACAGTTCCTCATCATACAATATTGCTGTTACTATGTACAGTGTTCTCCTGGTTCTGCTCACTTCACTTTGTATCAGTTCATGTAAGTCTTTCCAGGTTTTTCTGAAATCGTCCTGTTTGTCATTTCTTGTAGCACAATAATATTCCATTACAATCATATACCACAACATGTTCAGCCATTCCCCAATTGACAGGCATCCTTTCTATTTCCAAATCTTAGCCACCACAAAAGAACTACTACAAATATTTTTTACTATTGAATTCTTTAAGTGTTTCATCATTGGACTGAATAAATTTTAAAACAGCAGGAGGGAGGCGGGAACAAAAATTTTTTTTAAAAGTTTGTTTTCTAGATCTCTTTTTCATACCTAGATAGAGTAGTGAGGAAAAAAAAGAATCAATGCCTTCACAAGTTCACTTTTCCTACAGCTTATGCCTTTGAGAGGTCCACTTAGGGTTCCATAGTTAACTGTTCAGGAAACTACAGGATAAAAAAGGGACTATGATTTCTATGTGGAAACGGGAATATATTAAAATGTAGAATTTATCATTAAAACATTTCAAATAATCTAAAGAAAATAAAGGGGAAAATGCATATACATGGCATAATGAAAAGTTTAGGAACATAATAATTTTTGTCTTTTATATTCCTTATCTCACTTTGTTTTCTAATTTCTACATTGCTTCACAATTTTGCTACACAAGAAAAATTAATCCAAGAGACCATTCCATTAAACTTAATTTTAACAGTATTCCTTTTTTAAACTGTCAATATTTGAGGAGGGCAGACTGATGTAATTTTACTATGAATTCATAAGAAATCTTTGCAACACGGTAAGAAAATAATACTTGTAGTAGTTGAAAGACTAATATTAAAATTTTCCTAGTAATTTTATATATTTATAAAATATATTTTATCACCAAAAAATCAAGAGTAAATAAAATAAATCATTTCATTGATCACATCAAATACTTGTTATCAGTACATCAGAAAGGACTGCTGAGCCCTACTGAAGTCTAATATTATGTCTCTGATAAGGAACAAAAGGGTTGATTTGTCAGACAGTTTGGAAATGGATCTCCCTGGAATTTTCCTCAAAAGTTGGGAATGTATGCCAAACATACCCAACATCTCTTTTATAAACATGGATTCAAATTAAAGTTCAAAAAAATTTATCAAGCACTTATTGCATATAAGACATCATGAAGTCATTAACGATTACACTAAGATTCTCAATCTAATTTCTATTTTCAACCTATACAACCATATAAGAAAAAAAATTCCAAGTACAACACCATACTTTCTTTTATTTGAAAGTTTCAAGCACTCAAGTAAAGCCCCCTTAACCTGCATGATTTTATATATTTTCATAGTATTATTATTATTATTTTTGTTATGTGAACACTAATACGTAAGGGGGGAAAAGGAGCAAGCATGTTACTATTTCCCAGCCACTGTACTAAGTGCTTTACAAATATCTTATCCTCACGAAAACCCTGTGAGGTAGGTGCTTGCTATAATGATCCTCGTTTACAATTGAGAAAACTGAGGCAGACAGGTTAAATGACTTGTCCTGGGTTGCACAGCTTGTTCAGCCTGTTTGTATCTGAGCCCATGTCTGTCTTCCTGACTCTGGGCCCACCTGGCACAAGCACTCTGCTCAGCATCATTTGAGAACAGAGAAGCATATAAACTATACATGTAGTCTAAATAGGACATAATCTTACAGGAAAGGCACTAGCGGTGGGGGAGGGGAGAAGGTTAAGTGCTAGCAAAGGCTGCTTTCAGAAGGTGGGATCTGAGCTGAAACAAAAGAAGCCACGAGGTGGTGAGGAAAAGGGAGAACAGAACACTCCAGGCATGAGGAACAACCAGGGAAAAGGCACAGAATTAGGAGAGTGAATGTTGTGTCTGAAGGACAGCAAGACAGCCAGTCACTGGACTGTAGAGTACTTGGAGGGGAGTAAAGTATAAGAATATTGGAAAAGTAGAAATAGGGCAGGTTGTGATGGCTTTAAAAGCCAAAAAGAGTACTTCATATTTGATCCTGGAGATAATAGGGAACACTGGAGTTTACCGAGTAGGGGTGTGTGACAGAGTCAGACCCTCACTTTCAGAAGATCCTTTTGACAGCTGAAAAGAGGATGGCCTGAAGTGGGGAGAGACTTAAGATAAGGACAGCAAGCAGCAGGCTACTGAGATAATGAAAGCCTGGATGATGGCTACATGAATGGAAAGAAGGAGACGACTATGAGAGATGTTTTGAAGGTAGAAACAAAAGTTGACAACAGACTGGATGTGTGAAGTGAATGTGAAAGAAGACTTGAGGATGACATTGAGGTTGTGAAACTGGGTCACTGCAAGGATATTTTTTATGCTCACTATGATTGCTGGATCAAAGATTAGAGCTGGAAGAGCCCTTAGTGACACACCCCTATTTCTCCAGTCTGTAACTCCTGTTCTGGCTTCACTTTGTTCTTGTCATAGTGACAACCTCTTCAGTCAACTCTGGTGGCTCCCTATTGCCTATAAAATCCTGTCTTTTAAAGCCCTCCATAACCTGATTTCTTCTTACCTTTCCAGTCTTCTCACATGCTGCTATCTACTCTGTAAGCCTCTGAAACAGGTTGCCTTGCTGTTCCTTACATACAACACTATATCTCTAGTCAGCCATTTTCACTGGCTGTCTCCCATGTCTGGTGCTCTGTCTCTCCTCATCTCCACCTCCCAACTTCTTGGGCTTCCTTCAAGTCTCAGCTTCAAGTGCCGCATTCTACAAAAAGCCTTTCCCAAAAGAGCCTTTCCTCTGTGATTAATTCCGAGCTACCCTGTTTATACCCTGTCTGTACATCGTTGTATGCATGCTGTCTACCTCACTATTATTAATCTTTGACCTCCTTCAGAGTAGGGACTCTCTTTTTTTTTCCCCTTTCTTTGTATCCCCAGCATTTAGTATGGTGCCTGAAGCAAAGTAGGTACTGAATAAATGCTTGATGACTGACTTACAATCCTGTATTTAAGTAGTTCAGCAAAGCATTATCTTCAATTCTTGAATCTCCTGAGTCAACTCTGTTCTTCAAGCACTACTAATCCTCAACCATGAATTCATTCCTAACATCATTTGCCTCACTGACTCCTGCAGAGACAGAGAATACTGAGAGTCATGAAACTGTGCCTACTGGATCCAATACAAATTCCTGTCATCTAACCTCAAATAGGCCCCCACTAAAGCACAATTTTTATATTCATCAAATTAACACATATCTTATTGCAGCTGTTCAAATCCATATATTCTCTCCTCAAAGTTCCAACTCCTCTGTCATCGATCTTTCTCTAACCTTAACTTCAACTTTATTGAGGAGAATGGGGCATCCATTACAACCCTGCCTATCTTCCTTTCTTCATACCTCAAAATCTCTTGATATTTTTACCCATTCTTTCTTCTTTTGTTTCCAATCGTAGAGGTGACTCTTCTCTTTGCCAAAATTAATGCCTGTACTGTTGTCCTTGATTATATTCCCTCCTTTGGAAGATTGCCCTAAAAATCATCCCCATTCTTCTTCAGTCTTTCCCCAATTACTGGTTCTTTCTTCACTGCCTAAAAATACACTCAGGTTTCCCTAACCATTAAAAAAAAAAACCTTCCCAACCTGCTCCTCTTTTTAACTGCTAGTCCTGGGAGCATGTAGTTCACTTACATGCTCCTCCATGAAGTCCCCTCGAAATCTGGCTCTCAACCCTAAGGCTTCTAAGACTGCTCTCTAAAAGATCAACAACAACTGCTTCAGTTGCTAGATCTCATAGCTTTTCCCAGTCTTCATTTTCCTTGACCTTTCTTGGCACCAATCAATATGGATCACTGCCCTCTCCTCAGTACTGGCTCCTCTCTTGTTTTCCATGCCAGGGCTTCTCTTGGACTTCTTATCTGTCTGACTGCTCCTTTTCAGTCATTTTTACTGGAAAATTATCTTCCTCCCCACCTCTCAAGGGCGAGGGTCCATGAAGGCCCTGTCCTAGTGTTTTTCTTCTCTCCTCCCTCTAAATTCTGTTTATAGGTGATTTCAACTATTCCCATACTTTCAATGATCACTTCAATGTTTAATACTTGTTACTATCTGGCTAAATGATGGTTCCTCAAAACAGTTCAAAGCTGATGACTCCAAAATATATGTATCCAACCCTATTGGATATACATATCTCCCCTGAATTCCAGTACTATATCTCCAAATTCCTTCTAGAGAGCTGCCCTGGATGTTGCTTCCTTCTCATTATATCCACAATTTAACTCATGATCTCGCCCCTTTAATCACTCTCCTCACAAATACATTCTTCATATAACTATCAGAATAAGAAAACAAAGGTGTGGCTACCTTGCTCAAAAGTTATGAGAAACTACCTGGTCTCTAGAACAAAATACAAACTCCTTAGCCTCCCCTGTCTCTTCATGATCTGGCTCCAATCTACTTTTGTAGCCTTGTTTCATATTATCACCCAACACACACTCTGCCTTCAAGCCAAACAGAGCTATAGTTATTACCCAAAATCAACATGTTATCTCCTTTTCTGTGCATTAAAGCACTCTCTCATCTCTACTTCTTAAAATTCTGGTCTTCCTTCAAGCCTTACTTTGGGCATCCTCTCCTCCACAAAGCCTTCCTCAATCTCAAATGAAAGTGTTCTCTCCTCAAGTTTTCTTAGGACTTTGTCTTAATTGTATCCTTGGCTCCATTAAACCCTGCCTTGTATTATTCTTTATTTTTTTAATTCAGTTTTATCTTCAGGACCAAAATCTTTCTCTCCCACCTACCCCCTCATCCCCAAATGAGAGAGCAAGAAAAACAAAACCCATTTCAAATATGTATACTCAAGTGAAAAAAAAAAAAAAACTACATTGGCTAGGTTAAAAAAAAAATCCACAAGCCTCAACCTCTACGGGAGTCAATCAGGTAATTAACTGGAAGGAGGTGGCATGATTCACCTCTTTATACATGCTACATCTTCTCTTGACCCTTGGCCATCACCATCACCTCGCCAGTATAAGACCTTAGTTCCTTACAGACAGGGACTATATCATTATATATCTTTGTATCCCCCAACATATGCCAGAGTGCTTTGCATATAGTAGGTATTTAATAAATGTTCATTGCTCTAAAATTATACTATTTGTATCCTCAAAAGCACTAGCACAGTGCTAGAAATCTAACAGATACTTGACAAATATTTATTAAATGACTAAATGAATAGAGGAAAAGACTTTTGCAGTAATCTACTTTTTATAGAAAGATAGGTTTGGGAGCATGATTGATGGAGAAGCCAACATGAACTGAAGAACCAGGGTCTGGGTGCATTTCCAACTAAGCAAAAGAGAGAGCTACATTTGTACCAGGGCCTGCTAGAAAAACTCATAATTTTTATAGCTGTTGCATGGCTAGACTGAGGATGTTTCAAATTCAATAAATAAACATTTATTAATCGCCTATGTGGAAATATCTACTATAGCTTGGAATAAAGGTGTAAAGAGCATTAACCTATAAATGAATTTGCTATTATAGAAATCTCTTACCTGCCCAGGCAACCTTGACCACTTTATTATTTCCTTTTGGTCATCTGAAACTGGTTCACTACCTCTTTTACTTGTCTCCTTCTGAAGTTCACCATATGATGTACTACCTTGTTCCTGCTGAAGTGCCATCATAGAACGAAAAGAAGGATCTACCTACATTTAATTAGATACACAATCTTGTAAAGCCCATATTTAGAGCACACAAAATGTTTTAAGATCTAAGAACAATCAATATGGGGGGAAATTTTTTCTAAAATTAATACTTGAACCAGTTGATTTTTTTCTATTTTTATTTTACAGACATGGCTTCACAAATGAACGCAAATGGAACAAGAGGGTATGCGGCCTTAAATGACTGTACTCCAAGAGCTTTGAAATACTGTTGTTGTTTTTGTTAACATTAATGTTAAAAGGAGAGATTTACATTCCTGGGCTTCTCTACAATAAATATTATGTTCTTACCACCTTCTACCAATACCTGTACCAAAAGAATATGATATTCTAAGAAATTCCTAACTTTCTATCACATAATCATAAGCTTTTGATTCTTTTTTCTTTGGTTATTTGGCTTCAGTTGTGAAATAATACCATGGAGTTATATTAACTAGTATCCGTGAAATTTGTAATTTACTATAATTAAATCTTCAGAAATAATTGTATATCCTATGTAGATTTACTAATTTAATTTCAGAATCAACCTCTTGGGATAGTAACATTGTATAACTGATTCATGTACAACCGTATTGGCAATATCTTTTAATGTTTAATAGGACGTATTAAGTTACAGAATAGCTTTTAAAGCTATTATCTCAAACCTTTTAATGCTGCCATCTTCCCAGTTACCCAGGAAAGAAAACCTTAGCATCATCCACCATTCCTCACTAATATTCACCTCACATATCCAATCAGTTGTCAAATCGCATTTCTAACTTAACATCTCTCAAATATGTCTTTTTGTCACACAGCCACCATTTTAGTAAAGGTCCTCATCACCTCTGGAATGAATTACTGCAACAGCTTTGTAATTGGTCTTCCTGCCTCAAATCCCTCCCCATTCTAATTTACCCTCCACTGGTTGAGCTTCCAAAGGGATTTTCCTAAAGTACAAGTCTGACCATGTTACTCCATTATTTAATAAACTCCAGTGGCTCCCTCCTATTACACACTTTACTCCCCTCTGTGTACTCTACCATCTAGCTTCACTGACTTAATTGCTGTTCTTAGCACAGGACACTCCATTCCCTGTCTTTGTGCCTTGGCCCTGGCTGTCCCCCATGCCTGGAGCAGTCTGGCCCCTCAATGCTGCCTCTTAGCTTCCCTGACTTCCTTCAAGGCCCAATTCAAATTCCACCTTTTGCAGAAGGCCTTTCCTAGGCTCCACCTGTTCTCCTCTCCCATTCCCCCTACCCTTCTCTGTGAGATTACTTCCATCTATTCTATATGCATTTTATCTGTGTGCAGTTATTTATATACTGTTTCCCGCATTAGAATGGGAACTTCTTGATGACAACAACAGTGTATTTGCTTCTCCTGGTATGACCAGTGCTTTGCAGAATTCCTGACACACAGTAAATGCTTAATACTCGATGACTGACTATATTAACAGCACTAAAATATTGTCTTAACAACTATAATCAGACTTTTAAAAAAAAGAGTAAAATTTTAGGCTCTCCATTGCCAATGGTGAGGAAACATGGTAGACGTGAGCAAGTTATATCTTACTATAACCTAGGCATGATAATGGGGAAGAAGTATAAAGATGTTATAATAGAAATGTATAAGAGGGGGAAAAAAGGTCTGGTCACATGGGAGATTCTGCAGCTTCCACTGTTATTTCTGTAATATGAAGGTGATACATGAAAGTTACCCCACAATATTCTGAGTGCGCCCTCAGATACAAGCAGACATTGTAGGCAGGCACTGCTGAGTTATAATTTATATCACTGGAAGGATTCTCAAATTAATAAGATCACTAATCCATTTAAGCATTGTAGAGTTGTTGTTATTGTCTCATAATTTTAAAAAAACACTTCAGCAAACTGTCTTTTAATACAGCTAAAGCTTCAAACCACACTCAGACCTTTGCAATTATTGTACATAACTACCTAGTATGCCACATTTCCCAGTTAATGCCTCTTCCAGTTCTAAAAAAGCTATAATTTAACGATTCAAAAGACTTTCTTATGCTGCAATATAAATTTGGTCACTGCTTAATTTTAGCTTCTGAGAATATAACTGATTTATAATTCTACCAAATACCAAAAACAAAATAACTTACATGATCTGGGAGTTTCAGGCCTTTTATGGTTACATACAATGTTGATGGATAACGAATCCTTGGACATTTTGACCACCATTCAAAAACTTCAACAACATTTAACTGTGATCTAATCCTAGGAGGTGGACAGTATAGTTGAAGACGGAGTTTTCCATTGATATTCAAAACCCCATTGGCTCCTACAAGCTGAAAAAAAAAAAATTAACAAAGCATAAGAATAATATCAGGAACTCATTCTCGAAATATCATTTAGGCTGATTCAAATGTCCCACTTGTAAGTCCTAAGCTAAAGGGAAGGGAACTATTTGACTCAATGAGTTGAACAGAGTAATATGTCAACTTTAAAGTACCTTAAATAAAATTCTTGGATTTCAAGTGCCTCATTAATATGTCTATACCCCTCACACAATAGACATGTATTTTCTGAAAAGGATTTTCTTGGCATATAATTGGACAGGATTATTGGGAAAAGTGCATGGTTAAATGGAATAAATCTTGCTTTTGCCATAGTACATAATCAATAAAGTTCTTACTTTGAAATGTTTTAGAATTTTACATTTATTTCCACTGAACAGAAACATATAACAATTTGTGATTACTACTATTTGTTCTTATAAATCCTTACAAAAATGTGGTTATGGTGAAGAGTAATTTGCAAAATCACTGGCAACAAAAAGACTAATTAAGCAAAAATCAATGTCCTTGTACCTTTTTATTCACTATACATTTAGAAATGAATCCACCATCCTGAGACAGACACAGGGCAGATACATTTTTTCGCTCAACAGATTTAGGTTTTTCCCAGCATCCTTAAAAAGAATATAATAAATCACCTTTTTATTTCTTTTCATTGAACTAAAATAAAAGTAAGTAATTTAAGTTTCTGATTTCAGGATGGGCTCTAGGTTAATTACTGGTCTGTTTCTTTGAAGCTAGTAAAGTCTCACCAGTACATACTAATTGGAGACAGTCTCATCTAAATTAGCTGAAGGAGGCAACTGGAGATTATTTCTTAAAAAAAGAATTATTACTTTCAAGAATACCCAATAAGAATCAAGCTGGCCTAAATACTGCCTACTGAAATTGTTTTAAAAACCAAACAATAATGACTTGTAATTAGCATATCATTTGCTTTGCATATAAAGGAGTACATTTGTCCACTTTTTCCTTGAATTTACAATATAATTTACCTTGCCTGGAATTAGAAGTAAACTGCCAGTCAAGGAGGTTTTGCCTTATGGTTCAAACAGCTAAGATTCCTACAGATATGACTGACTGAATAAACAAAATAAAAGACTCCTCCACTCAAATATGTTTTTGTAAAGTTAAAAAGGCAGTGAAATACAAAGCATAATCATTAAAGAATATCGTATGTTAAATGATTACAATTAGAGGCAGTATTGTATAATAGAGTGTTTGTTGTTATTGTTTTTGTTCGTCCTGTGTTCTTGCACAAGACCAATGATATCATGAAGTTGAGGCTATAATGTGCATATGAATTGGATTTAAGTGAGGCAGAGCTGCACAAAGTCATCAGCCTCACTCTTTCTTCCAGAGTCATCAAAGACCAGTGGCAAGACAAAAGTCAAGACTGGCAATAGCCCAGGGTGCAGTAGGTGGCCCTGGCATCTTTGATGTCTGACCAAGCTCTAAGCCCTCCACAGTGCCGACTTCAGACAGCTTCATGGCTGTTGGAACAAACTGTTCTCATCTGCCCATTACTTACCTTGTACTCAGAAGAAATGGGCTTTAATGCTGGCTGGCCTTACCACTAACATGCTATCAAGTTTGGTTTTTTTCATGTACTAAATGAAAGGTTAAGTTCAATGATTCTATGAAGTAACATTACGTATAGTTATGCATACATATCTGTGATGAATTCAGAACTGTTCCAAATCACTGATAAATCAAATATTCTTCTTTGTAGGCTCCAGAGTAGAAAACTTCTTAAGATCATCTTGGATCTTTATATGTATAATTAAAAGCCCTTCTAGGGCATATGTACTGTTAGGGTGTTTCGGGGTAGCTTGCTAGCCAATCTCCTTTTTTTCCTTTCTTCTACATAATAAATTTGTATTTAGATAGTACTTTACAGTTTACAAAGCACTCTCCTCTTAACAATCCTGTGAAGTAGGTTCTGCAAATGCTATTATTCCAATTTTGCCATTTTGCAGATGGGAAAACAGGCTGAGAGGAGTGAAATGAGTTGCCCAGGGTCATAAAATCGGCAGGTGTGAAAGCCATGACCAAAGCAGAGTTTCTGGCCTGGGAGGTACCCTTAGTTTTATAAAGCTAGAAAGGCTAGATTAGGACCAAAAAGAGGGAAAACAGAATTATTGTTCCAAAGGGCCAAACTTAGGCAGCTGACCGAAGAGAAAGAGATCAAGGGAATTTCAGAATTCCTTCTAGATTGGTCAGCCCTGTTCACCAGGCCTTAGGGTAGACACTCAGTCCAGAATAATTTTCTATTTGTCTGGGGCTTCCTCTGTATTATATCTCTCAGGAACCTGAGCATGATAAATAAGCAAGGTACACAAAAGAGGAAGGTAACCTTAATAGGCATTTGACAAAAATTTAAAATCCTATAGATATATTAATAGAATAAAAAGTATCTCTGAAACAGCGACAAGAGGAATGTGTTCTTTTGTTGATCTATGTTTAACCTTTGGTGTTCATTAGTTTTGTTACATGGGTTACAGAGAAAAGGCAAATAAAAAGAAGTGAATGGTCAGGTGGTAAAGGATAGCAAGTAGGTATCAAAGGCACTCCACTCGATCAGTCAAACAAATACAGATTTATCAAGCTCCTCCTATGGGCACTGTGCTAGGAGCAGGGGATATAAACATAATGAATTAGGAGTTTATATCCTAACAGGAGAAACAACAAGGACATACATTCTATGTAGTTTATATAGGATAAATATAGAGAAAATAAATGCAAAGTAGATAATTATAAGTATAAATATAACCATAACTTGAATACAAGGTAGTTTAAGAGAGAGAGCACTAGGAGTTTAAGGGGATCTCAGCAAAGGCTTTATGCAATAAGGGGTACTTGAGTTAGGTTTAAAAGAGGAGAAATAATGAAGGCCTGAACTAAAGTAGTGGATGACAGAATAGAGAAAAGTGGTTGAATCTGACAGATATTATACATGTAGAAGTGGAAAGATTTGTCAGTGATTGAATATGTGGTGTGAGGCATTGAGGATAACAGCAAGGTTAAGATCATAGGACAACAGAGCTGTGGGAGGAAAAGAGTGAAGGCCAGTTTGACTGGATGGAGAGACAGGATGCAGAGTAATGTATCTTCCTAATGTCAGGGGAAAGTGCGGAAGGCTACCAGATCCTCTAGAGCAAATTTATGGGAAGGCATGGACAAGAGCCATAAAGGACAGGCAGGTTTGGATGGATTGAAAGCTGCACCATTAAAGCGCTGGGCCCGAAGTCAGAAAGACTGACCTTCTTAAGTTCAGATCCAGCCTCAGACACTTACTATGTAACCCCAGGTACGTCACTTAACCTTGTTTGCCTCAGTTTTCTCATCTATAAAATAACCTGGAGAAGGAAATGGCAAACCACTCCAGTATCTTTGCCGATATGGGGCCACAAAGAATCAGACACAACAAGAGCCAAGAAATTAATTTCCATCTGGACACTATATTTTCCTTCTAAGAAGTATACCCCCTAAAGTCTTATTCCAACACATTAATTATGGCACAGAGGTGACCTTGTATCTTTAAAGGCTATACCAGCAGAGAACAAACTCTTGCAGGTCCTAATGAGCTGAAAAGCATTTTTCTTGACTTTGAATTACCACCTATTAACCATCTTAATATGAAAATGCTTATCACCAGAAGATGGCTACCAGGGGATGATGTTTTTGATTACATTATGGCATGAAACTATACATGGAGGTGTTGCAAACAGCGTGGATGTTCACACTAATGAAATAATGAATCTTCTGAATCATCCAAATATAGTCAGTATACCAATAAATTAACCTCAACCAAGTCACTACTACTCTCACAAATTCTGAAGGAATTAACATTTTAAAAAAAGATGAATCTTAAAGTCATAGACTACAGTTTGAATAATTGGAGATGATTTCTGCTACTATCTCAAATTTAATTTCAGGGTTGACTCACCATTCAAAAGCTTTAGAAGTCTAATATTTGCTGAATACTTCATTGGATAAATAGATGGGCTAACAATAAAAAAATGAAATTAATAACCTAAAAATATAAAAATGTTATAAAATATGCTAACAACATTCCTCAAGTACAATGTATAACAGCCTTTATACCCTAAAGAAACCTTTGTGGCAATGCCCCAAAATGCCACAAGATGGCAATATTATAACATAGAAAAAAGACATTGCTCTAAATAAAATGCAATCTCCCTAACTTCACAACAGTGAAATAAGGAAACAGTTTGGTTGCTGGTTTTGTCACAGTTGAAGAGATGTATCTATTGCTCACTAATGCTACTTCCTCTAGCTGTATCTTTGATCCCATTACTGTACAACTCCTAACAAACTGTCCATCAATTAATCAATTAGCATGGATTTATTAAACACTTTTTTATGTGGGAAGCAACATACTAAATATTGGGGATACAAACAAAAAAAAGTAAAAAAAAATGTCCCTACATTCAAGAGACTTGCAATCTAATGGGGTAATGTTAATATAAAGATATAGATATAGATACAGATAGATACATAAAAGATACTTACAGAAAGATCATGGTGTGGATAAAAAGTAGATTTCAGAGGACTAAGACCCAGAGATACATATAAAGATAAAAGATCAGATAAAAGAATTTCAGAGCTCTTGGACATCGATCAGTTGTAGGTGATGGCCTACAAGGTTGAGGGTGTGACTCTCCTTGTGCAGAGCTGAGGTGAAGAGAAGGAGCTGAACATGGAAAATGACCAGATTAAGAAGTTGTGAAATTTACGTATTTGAGGAAACATCACAATGCATGTTGAAAACAGCTGGTATGAGGGTAGGATTTACAGTAGAGAGGAAGGGTGAGCAAGCACTGTAATCACTGTGAAAGGACAGATAGTGTCCAGGGAATCAGTAAACAAGGAGCTATAGGAATCTTGATTGGGGAGTAAATTTGACTGAATGAATTTCATAAAAGAGGAGGAGGTTATTTAGTGATGAAGGTAGAGGGAGAATCTGAAAATGCCAATGGGAAGCAAGGAGCAGTCCAAGCAGCAGTGGAAAAGGTGGCCAGGAATATGGCAAAAGATGGTGAGGTATAAATGAGAGAATTAGTTAATTATCAAGTAGGAGGGGGAGTCTCCTCAAGACAAAAAAGTGAGTAAAAACAGAACAGTATAGTTCTCTCACAACAGCTTTAGCAAGAATGAAAAAAAGAGCACAGGGCTGAGAAATTATCAAGAATCCCAAAGAGAAAGTACAGTAAATGCATTTTGCCAGCTCAGATTTATACAAAGAGACAGCCAAAAGCCTGTAGGTACTAGGGAAGGGGTCCAGACAGAAAAGACTGGCCTAAAAACAGTTCGTGGAAGCCTTCCAGCTCAGAGACTAGAACCAAGCCAGGGAAACAGGTAAGAAGGTAGGAAGGCAGTCTGGTCTAGCTAAGGATGCCTTAGAGCTGCAGCTGCACTGCTCTAACATCAAACTAGGCCCAAACTGAGAGGGCAATGATCAGTGTGCTCTCTGGTTCAGACTATCCCACACTATCTCATACCCGAGCTACTTAGCATACACCATCACTGAACAGTGCTGGTCAGCCACTCCTGAGGTACTGAAAGTATCCAGAGTCAAAATAATACAGATCAGTACCAAAGGCAGCCCGCAATTTGTTCCAAAAGTGCACAAAGCCTGGCCTCAACACAAAGTCCTAATTTAGTAAGTAGAAAAAGGAATAAGCACAAGAAAATACCAATGATAAAGAAATAGTATAAAGCCAAGATTCTTAAGATACAGACTCAGAAAAAGAAAATAATTCCATGTCCAAATATTTAAACAAAGTCTAAAATAAAGTCATAGATTTGCCACAAGGTCTACTGGAATTTCCGAAAGAAATGAAGCTAGAGGGATCTTTTTTTGATGATCAAATATATGAAAAGAAAGCTCTAGACAAAAGGATTGGAAAGGAAATAAGAGATCCAAAGGGGCAAAAAATGGAAACTGAATAAATAGCTTAGTACAGAAACTACAAAACCTTACTCACATTACATACTCCTTGAAAAAGCAAACTGGACAAAGCAGAAATCAATGACTGTGAAGAAGAAAAATTGAAACAAAATCAAATGATTACAGTAAAATCAGAAAAAGTAAGGTCATCTCCCATCAAAAACAACTGATCTAGAAAAGTGGTCAAAGAGACATGATCTAAGAATCAGTGAACTGAAAACCTCAACCATACAAAAGTCTAGATACCATATTTTAAAACCTAAATGGAACTTGCCTATCTATACTTATTAGGACTAGAGGACAAAGTGAATATATAAGGAATCCATCAGTCATTTAGTGAAAAAAACCCTCAAAATTAAAGTTTCCAATAACTCCAGAGCCAAAATCCAGAGTTTCCAAGTCAAAAAAAAAAAATAATCCAAGCATCCAGAAAGAAAGAATTCAAGTATTAAGAGCCAGAGGGCAGCCAGGTAGCACAGTAGATAGAACAGTGGGCTTACAGTGAGGAAGACTTATCTTTGTGGGCTCAAAACTGGCTTTAGACACTTATTAGCTGTGTGACTCTGGGCAAGTCACTTATCCCTGTTTGCCTCAGTTTCCTCATGTGTAAAATGAGCTGGAGAAAGAAATGCCAAATAACTACAGTATCTTTGCCAAGAAAATCCCAAATGGGATGACAGAGTCAGACTTGACTGAAAACAACTGAATAGCAACAATATTAAGAGCCACAGTCAGGATTACAAAAGAAAGACATGCTAGCTAAAACTCAGAATTCATCAGTTCTCTCTCTGGAGGTGGATAGCATTTTTCACCATGGGTCCTTTGGAACTGTCTTGGATTGTTGTCTTAATCAGAATAGGTAAGTCTTTCACAATCAGTTGTTATAATATTACTGTTATCGTATACAATGTTCTGGTTCTGCTCACTTCGTTTTGCATCACTTTAAGTAAGTTTTCCCAGTTTTTTCTGAAATCTTAACCCTGGTCATTTCTTATAGCACAATACTATTCCATTACAATCAGATACCACAACTTGTTCAGTCATTCCCAATTGATGGGCATCTTCCCAGTTTTCAGTTCTTGGTACCATAAAAAGAACTGCCAGGCCTAGAGTCAGGAAAACTTAAGTTCAAATCCAGCCTCAGACACTTAATAGCTGGGTGACTCTGGGCAGGTCACTTAACCCTGTTTGCCTCAGTTTCCTCATCTGTAAAATGAGCTGGAGAAAGAAATGGCAAATAATGACAGTATCTTTGCCAAGAAAATCTCAAATGGGGTTAGACATGACTGAAACATGTAGAGTCTACATGTTTCAGTAGGGCCTTTTTTTCTTTTATTTCTTTGGGATATAGACCTAGTAGTAGTATTGCTGGGTCAAAGGGAATATAGTTTTATAGCCTTTTTGGCAAAGTTCTAAACTGTTCCCTGGAATGGTAGGCCTAGTTCACAACTCCACTAATAGCACAAAAGTGACCCTATTTTTTCACATCCCCTTCAGTATTTGTCCTTTTCTTTTTCTGTCATGTTAGCCAATCTAATAGGTGTGAGGTGGTACCTCAAAATTATTTTAATTTGCATTTTCCTGATCAGTAGTGAGTTAGAGCATTTTTAATGTGACTATTGATAGCTTTGATTTCTTCTTCTGAAAACTGCCTGTTCATATCCTTTGAACATTTATTAATTGGTATATGGTTCATATTTTTTATAAATTTGGCTCAGGTCTTTATATACTTGAGAAATGAGGCACTTATCAGAGAAACTTGGTGCAATATTACTTTCCCACTTTCCTGCTTCCTTCTCATTTTGGCTGCTTTGGTTTTATTTGTGCAAAAACTTTTTAATTTCATGTAATCAAAATCATCCATTTTGCTTGCCATGATCATCTTTATCTCGTTTGGTTGTAAACTTCCCTTATCCATAGTTATAAGAGGTACATTTTTAATGCTTCCTTAATTTACTTAAGATACCTCCCTTTTAGGGGCAGCTAGGTGGTGCAGTGAATAGAGCTCTGGCCTTGGAGCCAGACACTTAACACTTACTAGATGTGTGACCCTGATCACCTCACCAAAAAAAAAAAAAAAAAAGAAAAGAAAAAAAAAGATACCACCCTTTATTTCTAAATCATTTATCCATGCCAACCCCGCCCCCCACCCAGTGTCACAGACCTCTCCTGACCTCCTAAGTTTATTGGGCTGGAAAAATGTCTCACCCTAACCTTTTGTTGGCTCTGTTGCTCAACAGCTCAATTTGAGACATTACTTTAAAGTTGTATAAAGGGGAATGTTGGGATAACTCAGCTATAGTGTTTCTACTACTGTACCATCTTGGCTCTACCCCCGGAAGTTTCTCTAGTGCACTTTAGTATGAAATAAGACTGGAAAAATAGCTTAGAGACCAACTATAATGGACCCTGGATTCCAGGTTTATGAGTTTATATTTTATCAAAGAAGAAGAAAGAAAAAAACTGGTCTTTTTTTTTTTTTTT